GCAGCGAAGTAACCGCAAGGGCAAAGGCAAGATGAAGGCTCCTGCCGTCGAGGCCGAACACGAGTGGAATTGTCCTGTCAGTGGATGTGGACGCGTTCACCTCAGCTTATTAATGGACGGGCGTTGGACTATGGACGAGAAAAGAGGTGCGATTGCAGTGTTTGTTTGACTTCGTGGTAAGCTTGATGCATATTTACGTGTCTTAACCCCGGACGTGCATATCCTTCAAGATCTTGAGATTGTAATATCGCATTGCACTATTCCTATAGCATAATTATATATCACATACGTATTGTAGCGACAGTAACGTTTATCACGCATCTTGCAGCTTTCCTGTACTTTCCATGTGAGTGGATGTGATTTCCGGTACCGGTCCTGACCGCAATTCGACAATCATTCCAAGTTCTGGTGATTCTCATTACAACTAATCCCCGAGGTTGTCAGCAAGGAGCGAGGAGAATGGTATAGAATCTTACTCTGCTCACTAACGCCGACTGTGCAGCCCACATGTCAATATCGAAGGTTCGATTTTTGCAACGTGCCAGCTGCTGTGTTTACACGCAATCGAGGAGTCTCGCTCCTGTCCACAATTACTACTTACCTTGACCCGCAGAGCACGCGTACTACACATGTCACTGCCAACGGTCACGACAACTGACTGCTTTGTGCCTTGTGATCGATAATGTCTCTGCCAGCCCGTTTCTGAATTGCATCTGCCACCGTGTTCGCGTTTCGGACTGGCTTCCGCAGGAGTCGCGAATCTAGCCCTTCCCTCGTGCCCAATACTCCGCTTTTATTTTGGGTCGCTTGCAGCTCTGGTGTGCTTCCTGCTCTCGTTAGGCCTTGTCCCCACTGAACGAGACTCCCGCGAGCGATGGGCGACTCGGCCAATACTCACGATATATCTGTCACCCCGCGACGATACCTGCAAAGGCAATGGAAGAGAAATAAGCCCGTGAGCCAATTGTCCTCGGTGCTTCATCAGATCTATCTCACCAGGTCGAGCTTGTCCAGCACCTCTCACCATCTGATTCCCTCCCCGCACTCCGTCTTTGTCCTAATCGCCCACTGTTTGTATGTGCTCAGTGTGGCTTCGCTAATGCGTGGATCCCCCTTTGTCTGTGGTGCAAATGGACATCAGCTGAGGCTACGAAGCAATTCGAGGCGAACTTGCCCCGACCACGTCGACTGAGTGCGCCGTCTAGAGCAGTTCCTGCACCGAAGACGACTGGGCACGGGCAACTTCCTCGGAGAACGTCAGCCGAGTCCAAAGGTCTTCATTCGCTGCAGAGCGAGCGCGCTTTATACCCCGCCAAGGATGTGCCTGGTATTACGACAGTATTGGAATCCTTTATGTGTCACGATGGCCGGCGGTTGGACCCACGTCACGTCGACCCTACCGAGCGCGAGAAGCGCGTTCTTTCTGTCGCGTCCACAGGCTCCCATAGTGTTCCAAGGGAAACGGTCGACGGTGGCGGCGCAGGTCGAGTCGCCGGAGCAACTTCGATAACGGTACTTATATCTACTGCTCATCCAGACCACCACGGTCCGAGAATGGCAAACATGCTAACCTGCCTTATTCTCGTGTTGTGTAGCCACCGATCCCGACTTCTTCCTTCCCGAACGCCGCGCTCGAACCCGAGTTTGAACTGTACAAGCATAGTTCCGAAGATCGAGATCTGAACAGAAACTCGAGACGCCATTGGAAAGGACTTCCAGTTCTTTGTGTCTTCCCCCCAACCACACGCCGTCGTGCCTCGTGTTGTTCAGCCCCTGGAGTTGAACGCACAGGGCCAGATAACGCCATGACCACACAAGCTATGGACTCTATGACGTCCGTGCTGATGGAAGCATCGAGTACACCACGTAGTACAGGCTCAGTGGATATGTCAATGCATTCAACGCCGTCTCTGTCTTCGTCACAATGTTCCCCTAAGCGTGGGCTGCGCAGGACCAAGAAGATGCCGTTGCAGAAACGCGAATCCTCCCTTTCACCTCGTTCTTGCTCTCCTTTACGGGACTGCATTGATGCATATCCAATGTCCGCTGTAGAGACACGACAGTCACATGCACTCTCACTGACGGCTTCTTCTCATGATCATGACGCACCCCCTGCCAACGTTCGCCTTGGACACCCGAGTCGACCATATTATTCGGCGATTCGCAAAGACATGTCACGTCCTACGAGTCCCGTCTTCTCTATTACTGCGCCTCGCACACCCTCGCCGATTCCGTCGCATGTGGATTACGTACCACGGGGAACGAAGTCACTCGACTGCTGGGGACAGATCGGGCATTCAGTATACACACGAATTGCGACCCATGTCGATGGTCATATCTGGTCAAACCACGTCACCGTCTGGATGTTCGCTTAGTGGAGAAATGGAACTGCGGATGAATTTGGCGCGGTGGCGACGGGAGAATGCACCGGACTGAGCCGGGGGAGTATCACTTTCGGGAAACGAGCCGGTCTCGGACGAAGGTGAACATGAAGGGGAGAGTGAAACAACTTGGAAAGGGCTTGAAAGAACTCGTACTTGGAAGATCGTCATGAATTGTCTCTTGCTACTGGTTTAGCAGCACTTTTGACTAGCATCACGTGACCTGTAGTTGGATTTGAGATACCCCCTACTACGATGTTCATGTTCATTTACCACTGTTGGCAAGGATTGTTGTATAATAATGATCAAATGAGTTCGGAGGTTGACTTTGCCAACCATATTAGAGATGTCCATATAAAGTGTCGTATTTTCAGTGGTGGTCGTGTGAGCGGGCCGCCGGCGTCCAAGTTGAACTTGACCGGCACCGTCCTAAGTTAGCGTTCCTGGTTCGTCCTCCATAGTGCCCATTCCCTGGTCGCGGTCGTTAATTTCTCGCTTTTCTTGTGAACTATCCCATTCCTTGCTTCATATATTATTTCATTCCATTCATTGCTCATGCTTGGTCGAAAGACTGTCGATCACATAGACGCGCCAGGACCTTCCAACAACCACTATCTTCAACCACCAACGCCCTCCATCAATGCTAGGCGATACCTGACTTCAGAGGCGGTCCTCACTGTATGATTTTGTCATTGCTCTGACGTGGGCTGACATGCATCTGACATCTGATCGGTTTAGGAGCGCACGAACACGATCGCAAATCCCAATGACGCCGTCTCTCCACATACATTTCCCCATTCCGTCCTGTATGTCATTTTCCGCTCAAAGTCCAACCCACGCTAAGCGTCCGGCCAGCATACCTAACGCCAGTCTCACGACCGGCATGCCGAATGCTACACCCGTATTCCCGGCCCGTGTGGAATCACCATGCGAATCAGTCAGCGAGGCGAGTTCTCGCAGCACTCGTTACTCTGTCGCCGAACAAGCCCTTACCAGCGCATTCAAGAGCAGCGAAGCCGAACGCTCTCCCCTTGAACTCCAGATCTGTACCTTGCAACAGGTCACCACTGCCCTGAGTACACGTGCAAAAGAAGCTCGGGAACGTGCCGCGAAGCTCAAGCTATCCCTTACGGAGAGGGATACGGATCCAAACGTATACGTCGCACTACAACAAAAACGCTGGATGGAAGAGAAGCGGCACGATGCGGTCGACAAGGAGGTGGAGCTGTTGAGTCAGCATCTGAAACGATTACAGGCGAATCGTACCTCGGACAAAAACGAGGATGCGAATCGTGGCTCGTCCGTCCCTGCCCTCAGCAACGAGGCCAAACGGAGTGCCAATCTTACTCGCTTTTTTGATTCTCTCCCACGAGGACATCGTTCAACCTCGATCTTAAACGTAGGGTTGCTCTTGACCAGCCATTCCCACGTCGAATGACAATGAGCGACGTTTCTCCCCTTCGCCTGCGGCCGTCGTCCGTCACCCCTCCCTTCCGACGCCTGACGATGAAACATGCGCGGCCAGCGTCTACGGCTGGAGAAGTATTTAACCCCGTTAAACGTCCTTGTAGACCGCGTCTTGGTAATTCTCCCCCCGACATATCCCCGCTCGCGAAGAGCACAGGCAATAGCGCAATAGCGTCTTCTCGCTCAGAGCGTTCAGTAGTCACATAGTTCTCGCTTAACCTCGGAAGCGCATTCCGACGGCTCCGAAGTTCATATATCTACCCGACCTTCCACCCCACCACTATCCGTCGCATCAATGGGCTCTTCGTCATCGCAGGGCGTGGGTGAAGAGACTGGGGGGGTGGCCACTATAATCAGCCACGTCACCTCCCGCACACGCTCTGAAATTCTCGCGGACTTGGATAGAGACACCGTCCACGTGCCAGAGTATGCAGTGAATCTCCTCGGAGGATTCGACCTTATCCACGATGAAATCTCTCTCCCGGATCGGGAGTTGTTCATCAAACCGAGAGAGATGAAACCTATCGAGGTTGCTCCCCCACCGGAACTAGCGGACGAGCTTCCCCCGCCGTCCGAGGAGTCCGACACGGGACCATACACGTCATTCGCCCTGTCACCGTTTACGGTCGAAACGTCGTGGTCACGCTTTTCGCTCAACGCGCCACCGTCGCCTTCTACTTCCCGTCTCCACCGTCCCCTCTCTACAGCCGCTGACGCCGGATTCGTCGTCCTTTTCCCGTTCGAGTACGCCCACTACGCCTCGACCGTCTCATAGCTCCAAAGGACCTCGGGCGAGTCACTCCCTGCTGTTCTACATGCGTAGACACAACGAAAGCCCTACAGGAATACAGTCCTGCCTCATCGTCGAGTCGGGTAGGGAGCTTGCCTGGGAATGGCATCGTCGCAGGAGGGACACCGACAAAGAAGCGATTCTCGTTCTTTTCGCGAAAGTAGGCGGACCATATCACACGGGGATTCTTTACCACGCATCTATGGCATTATCCACGATTTACTGCTCCCCGCTATTACTATTATCTACTTTGCAATCCATTACACTACAGCGTAGTATATCGTATATACCTACGTTTGAAAGATGTGTTTTCGGTCACGACGTTATGGCTGGGTAAGACAATTAAAGGTCATTAAAAAACATGAACCCGACCCGGATTGAACGGATGACCTTATGGAGTCACTCAAGCGAGCTGGAATCATACGCGCTACCACTGCGCCACGGGTTCCTTACTTAACATCAACCTCGAAACCTTACAAGCAACACCTAATCCGTCGATTCTACAAAGGTCTTCTCGCTTTTCTGCACTGATAAGATGTCACCCATAAGAAACACGGCACGTAAAACTACCGGAACACATGTGAAACTCTGTGAGTGTCCGATTTGTGAAGACACTCCGACATTGACCCATTCACGACCACTCCACGCTACATGATCTGTTGAGCAGCGGCAGCTCTGAAGAATCGTCCGAGTCAGCCTCCACAGACTCCTGGTGAGCCGAGTCTCAAACGTGCCCTGCAAAGCTGCCCGCCGGCGAGTACATCTTCTGTCAAAAACGAGAACATTCCTCGTCCCGCAGACTCGGACCAGTGGGAGGTACGGCCGTCTACGAACGAACGATTTATTCCCAAGTTACTAGCACTTGAGAAGTTTGACAGCCCTCCAGTTCCTCCAGATTTTCAGTCAGTTGGTATGCGCATCGCCTTTGAAAATGTGATTGTCGATCGTTCAAGTTGGCGTACTAGAACTCACAAGGCAACCCTCGTCTTCTGCTCCCGACACTTTACATGCTGCTGCCAGTCCATCTACAAATACTACATCAAAGACCCTGTCCAAGCGTCGTATGTGTGATCCTATTTATGTGCTCGATGTGAGTTCACAACGTCTCCTTCCGATGACCCGTATCCAATACTGCTTCTAGAAGCCCATCTGTCTCTGCACTCGGTTCGCGACATGGTTGGAAAGCCAAAAACATGTGCACGACGATGCGTTGCTTCGTGCCGTAGAACGTGATGGGGCACATTTTCTGCGTCTGGCAAAGGCGGCGCTCTCGTTCGACAATGCGCTGCGCGGGCATGTGCCTACACTTGATGACGCTGTCCTCGACAATCCGCTTCGTGAACATGCACGGACACTCCGTGTCTTTGCCGAAGTTTTGCGATCCAAGGTTGCAGAGGGTATTCTGAGCGAGGAACTGAAGGCGGCCGTCCTTCGGGACGGGGAGGCTCTATTTCGGCTCGCAGTGTGCTGCTTGGACTTTGATCAGGCTATTCGCGGCTCCGGGGGCCCAAGTTGAGTCGGCGGTTTGGTTCTGCAATCGTTATCGTCGTCTCCACGTGACACTGCCTGATTTTCCCCTCATCTCTCATGGATGTGTAGACTAGAACATGTTCATTCGTACAAGGTAATCTATGCTTCCATTTCGATCAGTCATTGTATCCACGTGCCTTCGATACACCGTTCTTGGCCTGAGGGAGTTCGACGCCTTGTTGTTTCCAAATCTCAATCTGACGGTCCTTGGCAACCTTGCCAGTTCGTCGTTCATACTCCTCTACAGATTCCGGTCGCTCTCCGTGAGGCGTCGCTCTCAGCGCGTGACGCATTTGAGGCCAAAAGTCAAACGTTGCGGTATGAGTCACAATCTAATGCCATCCATTAGCAGCACAGCCTTGACAGGCGCTTCACGCGTACGCACTCTGTTGTCCCAAAACGCGATCGAGTTGGGTTCCCAATGGAACCGCACTTGAAAGTCCACATTGCTACTGATTTGCTGGAACAAGAAGTGCAAGATGGTGTCCGACTCGGCCTTGGGGACGCCAATGATACGACGCGTGAAGCCTGGGTTGACGAAGACGCTCTTCCAGCCGGTTACCGGGTGGACGCGGACGATGGGGTGGATCGTCTCGACGGGTTCGCGGCGAACGTGGAGCCCGGCCGCGCGTGAACCGTCTGCCTGCGCCACGGCGCTGTGGAGGGCACTCAGGCCTTCCAGGTAGGTTTGCATCCCAGAGCTGAGGGACGAGTAGAGGGCATACCTGCGTACGTGATGATACCGATCAGCGTTGCCATCGGCAACCAATCCTGCGTTTCACTTACCCCGAGCACCATAGGGTATCACCCCCGTGTTCTGGGCAGGTGATGACTTTGAGCGAGGTCGTACTCGGGGGTTGAATCTCGTACGTCACGTCGCTGTGCCAGAGTTCGAATTTTGAGAATGCCGTCGGATCCGGACGACGGGCGGCATCATTGTAAACGACTGTTGGGAGTGCGTCAGAGTCTCATTCATGCTGATCGTTTGGAACTGACCATGAACTTCCTCAAGGCCAGGTTCCTTAGGGATCGGGGTGGTCGCGTGTTTGTGGAGAGGGCCAAAGTGTCTCGCAAGGTCGAGTTGCTCGTGGATGTTCAACTCCTGGTTTCTAAAGACTAATCACAAAGTCAGTCTCATTCATGGAGGACTGTAGGAGGGTTCGACGAACACACGACGCCTCTTTCGGCAACCAGGAGGGCACTATCGAAGCATCAATCAGTGAAAAATCTCAAGTGTGCTGAGCAAGTTGGACGGACAGTTCATCCTTCTGGCCAGAGGTCAGTTGCCTGAGATCGATGCCGATGATCTCCGTTCCGATGGCTGGCGTAAGATGCTGCACCTTTTTTGCGGCACTGAACAGGGCTTTCTTCTCTAGATCTGCAAATTGACCACGGTCGGTGACGTCGACCTCCTCGAGGGGTTCCCAGTCGACGACGGGGAAGTGAGGCTGCAGTACAACGTTGTTATTTGTGTCCAGAACAATCTAAGACTCAAATTCGCTTACCTTGTAGGCAGCGTACTTGTAGGTTTCGTTATCGGTAGAATCGGCAGTGGGGGAATAAAAGGGGTTGAAGAGTTGGGACACGTTGGCTTGCTTCTTCAATTCTTCCACTCGACCGACTTGTCCACTGCCGTTGTCGTTTGTGGCTACAGGTGCCATAATTTACAGTGTAGTTCAGAGTGCAAAAAATGGTTATACGTCTAGCAGACTCCAGATCTCATCCTCATATATTCAAACGCTTGCGACAACAGAAGTAGAAATGGCGCAACCATTCGCTATGGTATGAGTGAACATGTGAGCAACCTGGAGTATTCTCGCCTTCACCACTCTATCACCGGATTGAAGACCCGCACTTTGGCATGAGAATGACGCACGGAGCTATGTAATGGCGTGCTTGCACAACCTTCTGGGCATGATCTGGAATGGTCAACTGAGAGACAGGTAATATGGGGGGTGCATTAAGCCAAGCTGCACAACTGACAAATGCAAGGCATGTGACACTAGTGTGAGAGAGCGACCGTACCGTGTTGGGGAATGGGCGCAATCTGCAGAGTCCTCATACGAATCATGTGGCTCCGACGGAGTATGTTTGAACACGTTGCCGGATACGCTTTTCGATCCAGCACGTAAAAATTGAGCCGGTCTAACGATCGAAGGTCTTATGATCAACACTTGAAGACGCAAGATGTCTGCCGAGACATGCATCCAGCATAAGTCTACATTGATCGCGCATGCGTCAGCGCCATCGTCCGGCTCGAGATCAGTTCAGCGGAATGGTGCCATCGATATGAAATCTGTGTCACAAAACATCTTTTTCCGTCCGTCCCTCGCTCGTATCAGTTCTTTGTCGCTACCCAGGTTATTGGGAGATATGGCGTGGTGATGTACACCTTGCTGTTGATGTCCAAGCGTCGTCTCCCTGGTTGTGCAACTTAGAGACGGATGGTGGAATATGTAACAGCGTTTCTACGCCCTGCCATTCCGTCAGGAATGCTTGGCAATGCGGGTATAAGAAGACCGACGTACTCTTAGGTCTTTCCCGACGATTTCAACTCGCCCCATCCAACAGACCATACTCCGGTGCGAGTGGTGCGAACGAGGACGGGGGAGAGATCTGGGATTCTCCTGTGGCATCATGCGGTCGACTAGCCCATTCTGATCCGAAATGGACGGCGGGGGCATCAACACATCGTCGTTGAATGCTCTGAGATGCGGCTGTGGTAGGGGATGGAGAAGTTACACGCTGGAGGTTGTCGAAAAGTCATCTTCACCTGTCGTTCTCGACCTGTCGGCGGCGGTTTGCGGTGTGAATTGGCCCTGAAACCGCGAGAAGACCGTAGTTGAACAAATGTAATACCTGTACTTAGACTGTGAGGAGGAGGCAGTGGGAAGAGGGAGTTTTCTCCGGCCAGGGACAGGAGCGAGTCTGCCTGGTGTACGTGAGCTGCGAGGGGAGGACCGGACGAGTGTGGCTGTGAACAAATTCAAACACACATGAACCCGTCAGTGAGCAAAGTGCCAAAGGTCTATGATCCTCACGCGTTTAAACATTATCAACTGCATCGCCGTGCAACAAGAGTCGTAGTCTGATTGCAATTGACAGAATGGCAGCATTCTACTCAAAATCTGAGCGTGGCCGAGGCTCAGCGCTCAGCGCTCGGGCACCGCCTTATACTGAGTACCACAAGATTATCCTCGTGCACACCTCGTGCAGGCCACACTAGCAGTGGCTCTGCTCTACTGGATTACGTTCAGTTCCTGTTTCATTGGCGAGACTCTTGGAAACTACCCTTCATCTCCTCCATAATGCCAGCGGCAGGTCCTTTGGAGGTTCACTGCCAGCGGGCTCTCGAGGACATTATAACCATCTCGCAACGAATCCGCTCCTCTGCACTGAGGTGCGCGAATAACCAAGAAGATCCTCAATACATCAATAATATCGAAAGGCTTCACCAGCAGCTGGGGACGATTCGGGGATGCGCCGAAACCATCTTGGAAGTTATAACCCTCCAAAATCGCATCGTTGATGACCAGATCATCACTTGGTTGTTCAGCGGAGGGCTACCCCCATGTCTAGACAAGTTAAAGGAGATGGATGACATATTCAAGCTCGATGGCCAACTTCGGCCGACTCCTGCGCTAGCTCTCAGACCGGCTGCAGACAATATTACGAGAGCAATAACTCTCTTTGAAGAACACAAGGATATGTTCTATTTCTTGCTCACTCCGGATGTTTGGTGAGTTCTGGAATAGCCACTCGAGGTCGTCGTTGAGTCGGCCACTCAGGGATCGCGAGAGACATCCTCAACAGTCATCACAACCGCCTCAACCCGATACCCATCTCACTACGGAAGAAACACCACAGGATGTTCAGCAAGCTACCGTTCGAAGCAGGTATGTGTCATGTCGTTCAATC